TCTTTCAATAAGAACGAGCTTATAGCCATTTTTCCTACTAAAAAATACAAAACAAATACATTCGCCGGCTCCGGCTTGGTAAGTAATGGGAGATCAACGAGAAATTCTTTGAGTCTAACAAATGCTTATTGAGCTTTTAAAGACCACTCAAACCTAGACCTTTTCCTGAGAACTCAGAAAAAGAGAAACCTCATCTCCGCCGCATGAGCAATAAAACTACTCAACCTTGCCAAATGACCTGTAAGTACTTAGACCTCCTGAATGTTCCTTGGTGGCTGCATATCCAACACTACTTTGACCTTCTTAAGATAGACTTCGATTCCATGTCCTTTGACTATATATCCATGAAACTTCCCAGACTTCAACCCAAACTTTCACTTAGTTGCATTAAGCTTTATCTTATACCTCTTTAATGTATCAAAAGTTTCCATTAGGTCTCTTACGTGAACTCCTGACTTTATTCTTTATTTTTACTCACAAATCATCCACATACACCTCCATATTTTTCCCTAGTTGTCCCTCAAACATTTTATCTATCAACCTTTGATAGGTTGCCCCCGTATTTCTTAGCCTAGATGGCATAACTATATAACAATAGGTCCATTTAGAAGTAATCTGCTTCTAGTCATCCACTACCAAAAGTATTTAATGATATCCTTGTGAAGCATCCATCATACTCATGAGCTAATATCCAGGAATCTACGAGATGATCTATGCGCGGCAATGGAAAAAGGCTTGTTTAGGTACCTCAAGATCGTGCACATGTGCCACTTATCCTCGACCTTCTTTACCATGACCTGCCTTGACAGCCACTTCGAAAACTGAATAGGTCTAGTGTGACTTGAGCATAACAACTTCTCGACCTCCTTCTCAATTATAACATCTAACTCCACTACGAAATGTCTTCTCTTTTGCTTCACGGGCTTGACCCTAATATCCACGTTCAGCCTTTGCTATGCCACTTTAGGATCGATACCAACTAGCTCATTTGGTGAGTATTCAAAGACATACACATAATCCTGCAACAAACCTATTAGGTTTTTCCTTATGCTCTCTGTCAATAATCTTTCTATCTTGTTATCTTGTCAGGTTCGCCCTCCACCACCTCTATCTCCATTAGCTCATCGAGACAAGTCATTTCCAACTTTGCCTCTCTTTTCGCCAACTGAACTCCCTCCTTCGCACCTCTTTTTGTGCCCACTTGACCTAAACTTCAGCACTGTATGATAGCAAGACCTATATGCTCTTTGGTCCCCCACAACGTCCTACACTAGGTCTCCCATAGGAAACTTCATTTTTATATTGTACACCGATACTACTGCTTGGGAAGAGTTCAAGCTTGATCGACCTAAAATAACATTGTAGTTGAATCCGATTTTACCACAAAAATTTTGACCATGTTAATGTTCCTGAAAGAAGGAGCTTCTCTGGGCACCACTTCAACTCCACTGCAACCAAATAATGAAGTATTAATGTGTTGTAGTTCAACATCTAGCTTCATCTGTCAAAAACTCTCATAGAACATGATAGCTACCGAGGACCTTGTATCAATAAAGATCCTTTGAACATCATAACCCACAATTTCAGTTGTTATTACCAAAGACTCATGGTGGGGGACAAAAATCCCTTTGTATCGACAACCCCGTACCATAAGACTCGCATTATATGAGCTATTTTAACTTTGTTCCCCTTCACTGGGTTATTTATATAATAAACTATCCTAGCACTATTGGAATCGCCATTCTCTGGTCCCCCTAAGATCATGTGGATCACTCCTTCTTCGGTGGTCTATCCTCTAGCCTTCTTCTTTTATCTCATACCTCTTTGTCCTCCTTCTTCTCCTTACTCTTAACTGTGAAATCCTTTAAGTGACCTGCATGTATGAGTCTTTCTATCTCGTTCTTGAGTTCCTTGTAATTGTTGGTATAATGGACATAATCATGGTGGTACCTACATTAAAGAACTCATCGCACTGGGACCTGCCTCTTCCTATTAAATAGAGGTTGAGGCTTCCCCAACATTCTTGTGTCTCTCAATCTCTCCAGACTTTCATAAACTTGATCTCTTGGTAGCGCTAACGGTGTGTGATGCTCGTGTTTAACCCCGTACGTCCCTTATCATCATTCCTACCATCTCTTTCGCCCGACCTCCTACATCATATCTCTGCCTCTCTTTTTTACGTTTCTCCTTATCTCGATTTTTTTTTGCAATAAAGTTTGTTTCAGTTTCTTCCATGTTCATATGCTTAGTGCAGAGCTCCAACATCTCATTATATGAACTTGTTGGCTTCTTAGCTAGAGAGTTTCGACAGGGACCTGGTCGAAGCCTGCGTGTAATACCTCACCGCTTTGATCTCCTCCGACACCGAAGGGACCTCCACACAAGCTCACGCGTATCTAGCTATACAGTCTCTCATAGACTTATTTTCACGTTGTTGCATGTCGATCAAAGTGAGGTAGGTCTTTTCATGTTTCCTTGCACTAGAGAATGTTTTGATGAATAGCAAGCTAAACACGTCAAAGCTATAGATGGACCCAGATTGTAGTGTGAATTTAATTTTGAGCCGAGCCCTTCAACATTGTTAAAAAAGCTCTACAAAAAACAGCATCGTTGTATCTGTGTAACACTGACACATTATCCAAGCTCCTTAGGTTCCTAGTCAAATTCGTAAATGCGTCGTAGACCATGCTCAGCTCTCGAAAGTTAAAAGGTAGATCTACGTCCAAAACATCAAGAGAAAGGAAGGCCATGCACCCCTGGTTGTCGTCGCCTCTCCACCTTAGCCTGGAGCTCTCTAATTTGATTGGCCATGTGTTCTAAGGTTAAATCTCGTGGAGGTCTAGTGACCACCAGAGACACGATGGGCCTCTCATCACCTTATTCGCGCCTCCTACTTCCGCTCATCATCGGTTCATGGGTCACAAAGTGTGCTGCTCCACAATGAGCTTATGTTGTTGCACTACCGCAATAAGTTGGTCCAGCGCCGCAACAGGTTGTTCCACCACCAAATGAGGCTAAGACATCTTTGATTTACAAAACACCCGCGATAATCTGGTCCAGCTCCCCCGAGTGATTTTTATCACTTGCTCACCTCCTCCCAAAGAAACTCCTCTCTCACCCGTCAGTACGGCCACCTCCTTCCCTTTTGCCTAGCCCATGTTCACCCAATCTACCTTAGGCGTCAAGACCTGATTCACCCTCGACAAACTGATCCTAGAGCTAACCAGCGTTCCTTCCCTACTGGACCATCCCGATTGTGGCCCAGCTCCAAAAGGTGTTTTAGCCACCCAAACCTCCTCCAAACTCTCATCAAGGTTCTTTCTCTGACTCTCGTTTGTCATAGTCTTTTTCTCCATCTTAGCTTCCTCTAAAAACAATAGACTAACGGTAAATGTTGCCACATGCAGCGTCAATTGATGTTCTATCACACCTCGAACCAGCTCTCCTTCGTCCTTACATTGATTTGCTTCTCAAAGACCTGGAAAATACACCATGAGGTATTCCCGGCGTAAAAATTCTGACGATCAAGTCAGTGAAGGGTTATCAAAAGATGCATGTAGTTGTATGAAATTGTATTGAAAAGCTTAAATTGTATAGAGTGATTAACCTCATTTCTTTTCATACCTCTTCCATATTTATATTGAATCATTGGCTTCTTAAATAGGCTTTGCCTTATATGGTTACCCGAAGGTCGGCCCGAGTGCCCGAACTTCCCGAGGGCCTGCCCGACGGTTATATGGCTACACCGAGGTATGCCCAAGACCCATTTTTACTACACATGTCCCATATCAACAGGTCCTCATATCCTCTACCATATGTCTTCTTACTATCTTAGCTGCTACGAGTTTCCCTCTAGACTAAATCTCCATAGGTTGGCCTACATCATATAAGTCACTCGACCTATTGAATGTACTTTGTCCATTTGTCCTAGTTGTTACACTATTTGACCTACTGAGGTACCGACACCACTCTACCTTCGCTAATTTGTGCCCGAGCTACCATATGCTCGAGCTGTTGTCACACTATGTTGTCCGAGCTATTGTGATACTATGTTGTCCGAGCTATTATGATACTATGTTGTCCGAGTTGTCACATGTCCGAGCTACTGACTACTGTGTTGTCCGAGCTACTGACATGCCATGGTCCAACCTACTTAGGACCCGCTCACCTGAGCTACCTAAGACCTTCTAACCCGAGCTACTTTGGGGCCGACTAATTCGAGCCCACTGTAACTGTTTTATCCGAGCTACACTATATATTCTATCATATATATTTCGGATTAAAAAGCTTAGAGTGACTTTTTCTTTTTAATGAGTTTTCGGACTATAATTTCTGTCTGTGTATTTATACCCCATAAATCATAATAGTACCATCGACCAGAGCTCTTCATCAGTTGTTGAGGGGGCACATTATGCTCCACAATATTCATTGCCCAGAAACTGACGCTATTTTCTGTGGTCACGGATTTTGACAGTAATGGAGTACTATCAAACTCTTTAAAATGGAAATAAATATTTAAAAAAAAAATGTTTTTAGTTGACAAAAAAAAAGCTATTTTTTGACATTTTAATATGAATATGAACTACTTATGTTTGTACTTACATTTCCACTACGTTTGCATTTTTATCCTCAATTTTAGTGATAAGCAAAGTGAATTTAGTCTATAAGAAGGGCATTACTATTTACCATCCCCTTATTACTAATCACCGTCCCTCTTGGACGGTTTTGCCCTTTAGTACTCTCTCTCTCTACTCTCTCTCTACTTTTCCCTCTCGATTTTCTACGGCTCTTTTAGCCGTCAAAAAAATTTCAAAAAATTAC